TGATCCCAGATGCAAAGGATAAAGGTTTATGTTTAAGCCAAATAGTGGTGGCCTCTTTGGGGAGAGGGGTGTTAGAGGATTGGGCCCCAACCCCAGCTTCTTCTTGTCTTGAATGGACCCCAGATAAGTTATGGGGACCTCTGGCACCTCTTGCAGACCATCGGAGATGTGGGGAGTTTCTATTACTTGGAACAATGGCAGGCCAGCTGATCTTTCTTAGCCTTACTGGGGAGACTGCAGGGTGAGGAAGGGTCAATGCCTTTGTTCTCTAAAGGCAGTTGAGCTCTTCCTCACCGATTTCTTTAGCGTGGTTTTCCTCTCCTCTCCCTGGTTCTTGTGCTGACCAGATACTAGTGGTGTTTAATGCCCTGACCACTGTGCTAGCTCCGCCCATTCTGGCATCTTTCCCACGGAAATCTCTCTGTACCTAAAAGGACCCTGAAATTTCTATAACTTTTAGATCCCATATATTTTCTTGTAAGAAACCTTAAAGGAAATATTTCAGGCAAAATACCTGTGTTTTGTGGACTGATAACATTAAAAATGAGGCCTTTTACTAGACAGTTGGGAGAGATGATTGCATTCAATTGTGATCGAATAAGGAATGATGGAGTTAGGGTGGGACTGATTTGAGTAGAATCTGGAAGAGATACATGGGTACTGCCCATCAGTTCAAGTTTCCTTTGGAAATCTTTTCTTGAGAGAGTGCCTGTTTTCTTGAAAGGAAAATTGTCTCTTCTTTTATGCAAAGCAAGAGGATCAGAGGAGACTTCACTGAGAAGGTGATGTTTGGGCTGAGATGCCTGGGTGCAAAGACCATCAGACAAGAGTATACTGGCCTTTTTTGAGACACAGCCAGGAATGTGTTTGGAATGAGAGAGCAAGGAGCAGGGTAGAAAGGGGTGAGCTCAAGAGGTGATGGTGGGCAAGATCACTTAGGGACTTTTAGGACATTCAAAGGATTCTAAGAGGGGTGGAATAGGTGTACTTGAAGTTTGAAGACAGGGGGAACTGAAAGAATATTTGAACGGTGGAAATGAGGGGGGCTTAAGAGGATTAGGAAACAGTATTAAGGGAGCCCATGAAATTGGGTTAATGAGATAGTTTGCTTTGTTTGTTTTTTCCTTTTTTATTTGTACACATGTATTTTCTGTCCTAAAATGATTACTATTACATATGCTCCATAGAGTTCAAGTTGAACATGGAGTATACATAGTGAAATTTATTTTTGACATTGTTTTCAATATGTTTTTGTTTTCACACACACTGTAGTTTATTTTTACAAGAGATAAATAAACTGACAGAAAGCATTGTAAATGGATGATCACAAGAAAACCAACAGTGATTGCAATTACCAAACATGAAACACACTCATACTGTGTCGTAATAGTGATATTCATTCAAGTAATCTTCCGCTGTAACAGCTCGTTTACTTTGCAGTGACAATTGAATTGTATATTTTTTGCCTCTGAGTCCTTGTGGGATTTTTTTTTTTTCAACAGAAAGTCACAAAAATTATAATCATCCTCATCAGTTCTCTCATTCACATGTAATTAATTTTTTTTTCTTCTTGATATTTTGTAAGGCACTTGTATGAATTCATCAGTTTGTCATTAGAGTTCTGAAAATGCTTATTTGTTCAGTTCCACAGTGTGGTCAGTTACCAAAAACCTGTACTTGTCAGAGTGTTTTCCATGAATTCCTTGAAGATGAAACCCTTTTATAGGAACATTTTTGCAAAAGCATCAGAGTACACGCAGTACTCTTTGTAAATGACAAACGACTTAAAAATGACCATGGTTAAAGATTTGATGAAAGTTCATAATAATGCATTTGACAAGGAAGTTTAGTTATTTCTGAGGTATACATTTTAAAGTAAAACTAGTATTATGACTTATAACATTGTACCAGAACATATATTTAGAGTTTCATTTAATGTCTGAAACATTTAATGTATTTCCATACAAATAACCTAAAGAAAGTTTAGTATTAGCTGTTTTTATGGTTTTTTTATACTGCAGGTTATTAGTCATCAATTTTATACACATCAGTGTATACATGTCAATCCCAATCGCCCAATTCAGCACACCACCATCCGCAACCCACTGCAGTTTTCCCCACTTGGCGTCCATACATTTGTTCTCTACATCTGTGTCTGAACTTCTGCCCTGCAAAGCAGTTTATCGGTACCATTTTTCTAGGCTCCTCATACATGTGTGAATACACGATATTTGTTTTTCTCTTTCCAATAACTTCACTCTGTATGACAGTCCCTAGATCCGCCCACGTCTCAACAAATGACGCAATTTCGTTCTTTTTTATGGCTGACTAATATTCCATTGTTTATATGTAGCACGTTTTCTTTATCCATTCGTCTGTCAATGGGCATTTAGGTTGCTTCCATGACCTGGTTATTGTAAACAGTGTTGCAGTGAACATTGGGGTGCATGTGTCTTTTTGAATTATGGTTTTCTCTGGGTATATGCTCAGTCGTGAGATTGCTGGATCATATAGTAATTCTATTTTTAGTTTTTTAAGGAAGCTCCATCCTGTTCTCCATAGTGGCTCTATCAACTTACATTCCCACCAACAGTGCAAGAGGGTTTCCTTTTCTCCACAACCTCTCCAGCATTTGTTGTTTGTAGATTTTTTGATGATGCCCATTCTAACTGGTGTGAGGTGATACCTCATTGTAGTTTTGATTTACATTTCTCTAATAATTAGTGATGTTGAGCAGCTTTTCATGTTGATGCATCTCTTTTTCCTAACTTTAATGAGAATGTTACTTTTGTTTCACTGTTAAGAATAATCCTTGCTATTTTTTACCTTGAAATTCTTTATCTTACAAAACAAGTTTCTCTTGATGCTTTGCAAGTAAGAACTCAATTCAATAAAGAATTGAAATTCTTTATCTTACAAAAAAAGTTTCTCTTGATGCTTGGCAAGTAAGAATTGTAAAATCATGAATGGAGCTGGCATTTCATAAAATGCTTTTTTGGTACCTGTAAGATGATGGTAGTTTTCATTTACTTTGTTAATATTCTGAATTATATCATTAAATTTTCCAATGTTGAATCATCCTTCCTTTCTATTTGCTCATGATGTATTATGCTTTTATTATATTGCTGTATTTCATTGGATCCCATTCCATTTTATGTTTTCATCTATGCTTATACACAAAGATGGCCTGTAGCTTTATTTTTTTATTGTCCTTTTTTCGTTTTGCTATCAGAGATCAGAATAGCCTCATCTGAATAGCTTTCCAACTTTTTCTATACTCTGAGACAATTTGTACAATAAGAGTTAACTGTTTCTTGCAACTTTTCTAGATTCACATATAAAATGATGTGTCCCCTGGACTTTCAGGGGTCATACTTTGAAGCAGCTTCTTATACTGGGGTAGTATTCAAGCTTTCTGGTGTTTCTTGGATCCATTTTGGATATGTTTCCTCTCCAGAAAATTATTCTTTTCTCTTATCTTTTGAAAATCTTGCTGTTCCGTTTCTCCTAAGATTCTCTTTTGAGATTTTAAAGATTCTTTTGTGCACTATTTCATTCCTAGTGGTTTATTTTCCCCTTCTTTCTTAGGCTCAGTTATGCCCATGTTTTATTGCTATCATTAATTTCTTCCAAGAATAATTTTGGTCATCAGAGTTTGGTGTTGTTTGTGTTTTCTTTCATTAACGTTGTCTTTATTCTTTGTTATTTTTTGCTCCGACCCCTTCTTTCTCTTCTATTTTGTAGCTTCTTCAATTGAATGTTTAGTTCATATATTTTCAATCACCCTTCCTTTTCCTTTTGGTTTGTTGAAAGATATCTGTCTCCTTTAATGCTTTTCACCCTAAGCTATATTTTAATAATTTATTTAAATAATTTAAATAAATTTAAAATATTATTTCACAGAAATTTGTAAAAATTGTCATAACTTGATGATTTCTGAGAGTGAGCCTTTCTGATGGCTGTGTAAGCAGCACCTGCCTTCAGGATGGAATATTCGCATTATTCTAGAGACTTCCTCACACCCCCACTCACAACCTCTCTATCTCACAAAGGTAACCACTGCTCTTACTTCTAACATAGAATATGTTGCCTCCTTTTTCTCTTTATATAAATGGAAGCAAAGAATAGGTATTCTTTTGGGTCTGGATAATTTTGCTCACTATTCTGTTTATAGAATTAGTCTTGTATTTTCATGTAGTTCTTGTTTATCTTCCTTGCTGTATTGTATTCCATTGTATGAATATACTACAATGTACTTAACCATTCTAATGTTGACTGGCATTTGAGTGGTTTCCAGTGTTTGGCTACTGAAATGTGTTGTTCTGAACATTCTTGGACTTGACTTTCATTGCACAGACATACACATATCCTAGGCATGAATCATACATAGCACATGGGTAAGTTCAACTTTAGTGGATACTGTCCAAATAGTTTTTCAAGGTGAATGTAATGATTTCCATTCTCCTTACTAGAGTACAGGAATTTCCACTGTTCACAACAACACCATTTCCTGTACTGTCAATCTTATGACATTTTAGCCTTTATTTGAATATGCAATTATATTCCATGGTGGTGTTTTATTTGTAGTTCCCTAGTAACTATCTCAAAACATTAGTTTTCAACGTGTCTCTATTGTATTTTTTCTTAGCTTTTGTTTCCAATACTTCCCTGAAGACACTACATTTGGGATACCCACCCAGGGCTGGGTGGTGATTTACTAGACCTCAAGAGGCCAGAGCCAAGTGTCAACCAAGGACATCACAGACTTGCAGGCTCAGCCAGCATCAGTCCTGAGCAAGGCTTCTGCCCAGCGTGGAGTCCCCTGCAGAATCAGCAAGCCTAAGAAATATTATCAACTCATTGCATTAAAGTCTGCTTTCCTGCTGATATACTCCAACCCATTTTTGAAAAAGTAGTGTTTTCCAGCATCCTCACCTATCCAGAACATAAATAAAAACTTGGGAGTTTCTTGCTTATTAATGAAAGCTATGAAGTCTGCTATGAAGTCTAAGACCAACTGGGCCCAGAACCCAAGTTGTAGCATAATGGTATTTCGTCCAACCAAAGAAGAGTTTAATGATTTCAATAAATACATTGCTTATATGGAATCCCAAGGTGCACACCGAGCAGGCCTGGCTAAGATAATTCCACCGAAGGACTGGAAAGCCAGAGAGACCTATGATGACATCGATGACATCTTAATAGCCGCTCCCCTCCAGCAGGTGATTTCTGGGCAGGCAGGTGTGTTTACTCAGCACCACAAAAAGAAGAAAGCCATGACTGTGAGCGAGTATCGTCGCTTAGCAAACAGTGAAAAACACCAGGCTCCATTCTACTCTGATTTTGAGGACCTGGAGCGACAATATTGGAAAACACGCCCCTATGGTTCACCAGTATACGGTGCAGACATCAGTGGCTCCTTATTCGATGAAAACACGAAGCAGTGGAACCTTGGACACCTGGGAACCATTCAGGACCTGCTGGAACAGGAGTGCGGAGTGGTCATCGAGGGCGTCAACACCCCCTACCTCTACTTCGGCATGTGGAAGACCACCTTCGCCTGGCACACGGAGGACATGGACCTTTACAGCATCAACTACCTGCACTTCGGGGAGCCCAAGACTTGGTACGCGGTGCCCCCGGAGCACGGCCGGCGCCTGGAACGCCTGGCCACGGAGCTTTTCCCGGGCAGCTCGCGGGGCTGTGAGGCCTTCCTGCGGCACAAGGTGGCTCTCATCTCGCCCACGGTCCTCAAGGACAACGGCATCCCCTTCGGTCGGGTCACTCAGGAGGCTGGAGAGTTCATAGTGACGTTTCCCTATGGCTACCACTCTGGCTTCAACCACGGTTTCAACTGCGCGGAAGCCATCAATTTCGCCTCCCCGCGCTGGATCGATTATGGCAAAGTGGCGTCGCAGTGCAGCTGCGGGGAGGCCCGGGTCGCCTTCTCCATGGACGCCTTCGTGCGCATCCTGCAACCGGAGCGCTACGAGCTGTGGAAACGCGGGCAGGACCGGACCGTGGTGGACCACACGCAGCCCACGGAGCCCAGCAGCCAGTTCCTGAACGCCTGGAGGGAGGTCCGCGCGCCTGTGGGACCCGCGCTCCGCCGGAGGCACTGTCCAACCCGCAGCGCCTTGCACCGCCGTCCGCCCATGGCCGCCTGCCAGGGGACCCGCTGTCGAGCCCCTGTGGATCCTGCGTCCCCGCCCCTCTCGCCGGCCCCGGGTTCTTGCTCTGCTACCCAGTTCGGGGCTGCGGCTGCCTACAGCTCCGCGGAGCCCGGCCTGACTCCGCCGCTGACCGCAGGTCCATCTGCTGCGGATCTCAACCTACCTGGCCCATACGGCCCTCATCGTCGTCCTCGGGAAGAGGGGACTCAGGATCCGACTGTCCGGGCCCGGACTAAGAGGCGCCTCTCAGACACAGTGCACCCATCTGTGGACTTCGAAGCTCAGCTCCCGTTTGCTGGCGATCCCTTGATGGACAACCCTGCATTGCTGAGACCATGGCTGCAGCATCCTTCTAAGCCTTCCGGGTGCTGTTGGGCCCCTGATCTTCAACCCTTGGGTCCTCCATTGGATCCCGAAAATCCGATGCACCCTGACCCCTGCCTGCCATCTCTGGAGGGTATTACATCCAGTGTCCTTGACAGTCTCCCTTTGATTCCTCCCTACGTCCCTGGGACTGTGAGAGTGTTTCCCAGGGACGATGCTGGGAGTTGCAGGGCCCCCGTGAGCTCCTGTGAGGGTTTAAGTGTGGCCCACGCTTATGCCTCTAAGAGTCTGGTCCCAGCCGCAGAGACCAGTCTCCCGCACACCCTTGACTGTGATCCCGTGTGGCCAAAGCTGGAGGCACCTGCATCTCTTGAGTCCTGCGAGGAATTCCTCACCAATGCGTGGTATTCAATCTGTGAGCCCATGACTGCTGAAGAATTTGCTAAATGTGACTTTATCTGACCCTCCAGCCCAGAAACCACAGAAGCTCCCAGCCAAGCAACAATGTGGGCTGGGCCTGTCCTCAGTGGAGATGCTTTATCTCCTAGAAATGACACATTTCTCAAGCTGCCAGATGCTTTCTCCTACCATGACAACCAGGGCTCCTAGCAGCCTCTGAAGGGGACCTTCCCACGAGGACAGCTGCCATAGAATGTTGTCCCTCTCAGGTATTCTCATCCCACTACTGAACTTCGATGGGCCTTTGGCTTCTGCCTTGGCTTGGATGCTATGGACACTGCTTGCTTCTGATGGCAGGGAATGGTCCAGATGTGGGGCTGCCTGGGTCCCTGGACACCAGCCGTGCACCTTGTTGCTTGATCTTCTGGGCCCTGCGAACTAAGGACACTGCATAGTGGCCATCTTGCACCCCTCCTAAGGCACTGTAGCTGTATGGGCAAAAGAGCCTGCATTTTCCACCACTTCTTTCTCTTCACCACAGACCATCAAAAGCTACAGTAGCAAGTTCACAGTGTGCTTCCAGCCTTATGCTTTCCAGTAAGATTTTTTCTTTTAATTGCCCATCTTCGTACAGCCTAAAAATATCATCTTTTTTAAAAAATAAATGTATTTATTTTTGGTTGCCTTGGGTCTTTGTTGCTGCGCGCGGGCATTCTATAGTTGTGGCGAGCGGGGGGGCTACTCTTCATTGTGGTGCGTGGGCTTATTGCAGTGGCTTCTCTTGTTGCAGAGCATGAGCTGTAGGCACACAGGCTTCGGTAGTTGTGGCACGTGGGCTTACTAGTTGTGGCTCGCGGGCTGTAGAGCGCAGGTTCAGTAGGTGTGGTGCATGGGCTTAGTTGTTCTGCAGCATGTGGGATCTTCCCGGGCCAGGGCTCGAACCCATGTCCCCTGCATTGGCAGGTGCATTCTTAACCACTGCGCCACCAGGGAAGTCTCTAAAAGAATCGTCTTTAATGGATATGGGCTCAGTCAGAGATTCTAAAACTATGGTCCAGCACCAACAGCAGCATCGCATAATTTGTTAGATGTGCAAACTCTGTGGCTCCACTTCAGATGTACTGAGTGAAGAATCTTTGTGGTTGAAGCCTAGCAAGCTGTGGTTTGACAAGCCCTGCAGGTGGTTCTGATGCACCTACTAGGCTAAGTCAGTCTTGATAATTAACATCAAATCTGACTAGGATCCCTTCTTATAAAGGAAACAAAGCACAGCTGGGAAGGGCAGCTTCTTTTGCCCTCTCTCGTCTCCTCCCCTTCCTGAATGTGGACAGTGGGCAGGGATACAGAGAATCAGTTCCTGGTGTTGGGGGCAGACAAAATCAGGCAACGGGCTCCTTGAGATGAAGCATCAACTAGAAGGTGAGAAAAGTGAGTTGTATAAAACAAAATTACCTTGCTTCTGGTTACTGTTACTTTGTCTTTCCCTGTAGTTTGAATTAAGCCTTTAATCAAAGTTCCAACCTCATCTCTGCCCCTTGCTTGAATAAAAATTAGACCAGGACCATATTATATGGAACAGACCCACCTGTGGTCACCTTGATGGTAATGGGGGTTATCCAGAAAACCTTCAAAGAAGTGGAATTGGAGTGAGAACGGGCCTCTGCACCTGGAGACTCCCCTCCCCTCTTTGGCAGGTTCTGAGTTTGCTCCTATTAATGAAAGAGGCTTCATTATAGTTCATTCAAATGTCTGTGGGTACCATAGGGATAACCAACTACGTCTCCTCTTCTAATACAATCTTGCACTCATATTTTTGCTACTTGCAAAAAATTTGTAAAGTACAAAATAACAAAAATAAACTGTTTTAACCCAGAATACATAAGTAGCCTTTATTAATGATTTTGTTAATATTTTTGTATACTTTTTTTTTAACTTTGTGTTCCATTGGAGAAAATTTTATTAAGAAAATTAGCCAACAAAATTTACTGGGATTGACTGGTAAGACTGCTTTTATATATATATTGAAAGAAGGATTGAGGGGAAGAGAAAGAGAAAAGAGCCTCAAGGTGTGATATCAGTTGCAGTGTTGATATCCTTCTTGGGAAAAATTCAGAAGCAAATCTTCTAGGGATTAAATGATGTTTTTAAATGTATTTCACATATCACAGCAATTTCTGTATAGTTTTGAAAAGCTCTGAGTGTGAGTGTGTGAGCTTACAGACACACATGCAAATGAGAAGGGGAGAAAAGAAAGTCAGATACTCCCACCCTTCTGAAAGACTTTTTAATCTTTGAGGAGATCTTCTCTCTGGAGAAAAATAGCAAGAAAAAGAGGCCATGTTTTTCAAGGATAAATGAAATTGGGAATTTTTTTTCTCTTTTATCTGCTTTTTTTTAATTGTGAGAAGCTGGTTTCAGGTAAGTGATAGGCTAAGCAGGGGTGATTATTGATGGAAGATTTCATACAATGGCTTTGAAAGGAATCGTACAGATGTTTTTTTTTACTGTTATCATTCACTGAATTGGTTTGTATAAAGGAGGAAATTCATCCAGTTTGTTCTTGTGGTTATTCCTTCCCTGTTTCTGTGAGTTCATTACTTATTTCAAGGAACAGGTGGGAGAAGAGCCCCACTTAGAACCTTTGACACCAGGAGGCTTCTTAAATGTCTATTTTCATGTAAACCCAGGATGGGGCTTGTGGGCATTCCCACCTAGGAATATTGTACTCATGCTGCAGTGGCCAAATCTCCAAAAGGATGAGGAATGGGGAGAAGCTATGAGAAGCTCTGCTCTGTGTCATAGTAGGGTGCTTGTTCTCAGTGCTAGAATGGGGGCTATGATCCAGAACTCCCTAATCTAAGGGAGCTGTATTCAGAGACAGTTGGCAGGCTATGGCATGATCAAGCAAAAGGGAAGTTGAGTCCTGGTTGTGGGCTGAGTTGGGTCTCTGGGGGAAAAGAGGATCCCAGGACTCATGAGCTCACTCCTTCGTGCTTTACTATGCCTCTAGTCCTCACACAGCTTCAGTATGTCTCCCATCTCTTTGTGGCTCCACTAGGAGCCTAAAGGGATCCTGATGTCATCTACCTCTAAGGGCAGCTGAGACCCTCTGTGGCTCTGAGAAACTCTTATGAAAAGCCACACCAAGGTTCAAGAGCGTGGTGGAGCAGTCTAGGGATTCATTTTAGGAGGTGTCGGAGCATGAAAAAGCGTTTTACTGCTACTCTACAAATTGAGAACTGAATGAAAGAAGGTCCAACTAACTAAAGCCCACCTCCTTGATTGTGAGTTCCTTAGCTGAGACCTTTGGCCATTTCCTACTGTGTCTTTTAAGCCAGGTTGAAGAGCTCCAAGTAGAGATACTTGAGATCTGTTACTATTGTGGGTCATGATATGGAGAGTCGGGGTGGGACTTAGAACGCTGAGTGTGAAAAACAGATGAAATCTCTACTCTGGATTATATACAGATGTCTGTTTTCCTACATCATTCTTCTATAACAAATTTTAAAGTTTTGAAAATCTTTTAGATGCTTTCCCTATTTCATGAACTACTGTCCCACATTTGGGTTTTCTCTCTCTCTCTCTCTTGCTCAATTTTTATTACCTTTCTTTCAATTCCTGTATTTTTGCTTTACTCGTGAGTGAGCTCCCTCTCTCTTTTGTTGTCATTTTGTTCATGTACTCAATATTAGTAGTAATTAAAACTTCTGCAAGGCACTGATCCAATTACCCCCCTTTGAGATAGGTACCTAGTTTGTTTTGCAAATGGGAACATGGCCGCATCTCATCTCAAGTTGACCAGGGCTAGTGAACAATGGGTCTGAGAATCAAACTCAGCAGTTTAGCTTCAGGGCCTGTGCTCTTAACCACAGGCCTCAGTGCTCTCCACTGTCTTATTCACTTTGGGTGTTAAGAAACAGCAGAAGCTTCATGCCAACTGCTTGAAATGGGATTTTCTACCACCAAGAATAATTTTGAAATGTGCAGGAAGTTTTGCCTGTTGTGTTCTGTATCAGTATCTCATATTCTCTACAACCCTGCTGAAATTCCCCAAGGATTATCTTTCTTTTGGATTTGTTGGCACATCAAATAAAGTAAGGACAGTTTACTTTGGTCCAGGCACTGTTTGAACCTCTTTTTCTCTATATCTGCCTGCAGGGTCACAGTAACCCTTTTATGCAAATTTCTCTACAAATGCATCTCTTCTTTTGCACTGCTTTCTCCAAGTTCCTCTACTCCTGATGTCTCTATTGTTCTAGTCTCATCTCTGATCCTTTACCTGGACTTGACTTTCCTCCTCATCTCTTCCTATTACATAATCCCAAATACCCCTTGTCCTCTTAGGCATGACCTCCTCACATGTTTGTGGAATCAGTCAGGACAGGAGAACCTTCACTCCAGCTTCTGGAAATGAGGCCACATCACAGGAACGTGACTGAACATTCTGGAAAACGTCTTTTGCCACTTCCTCCCTTTGATCCTACATCTTTATTGCTGGGTCTCAGGTAAGAACAAGCAGCAGCCATTTCTCACTCTGGGATATTTAGATGATCAACACATCTTTTGTTATGAAAGTGAAGAGCAAGGGCAGAGCCCTGGAATGTGGGTAGAGACGTTCCAGACGTTTGTACTGAGATCCGGGCCAGACAGAGGACTGAAGGAGAAGGAGAAAGATTTCAGAGTGATTTTGTCAGACATCATGGTTCAGTAGGGCCAGAGGAGAGGTGCGTATAAGAAGACAGTCAGAAGCCTGTGGCAAGGACAGGGCCTGTTCCTTCTCAGCAGAATGGTAATATAGACACTAGATTTTAGCAAAGAGATGCCATGTCTCAAAGCCAGCATCAGAAACTTCCACAATCCAGAAGAGTGGGAGGTCACAAGAACTAGGCCGACTGTCCCTTCAGAGTATGGGAGGCACAGGGACTGTGAGAATAGAACAATTTCTGTCTGAGAGTGGGGGCAAGTTTCAGTCTCTTTGGGCCACACTTACTGGTAAGGTCCAGTGGACGAGTCAGCTATGGGTTTTTAACATCTGTCTATTAAAGGCAAGATATGCCACCCTC